ACATTAATTTTAAAAAGATTGATAGCAGCATGCAACTAAAAAGACTGTTTTAAAAATAATAATACATATATTTGATCAAAGACATATTAGACAAATTGATGCAACTTTTGTAATTCAGTCCGGTAAATTGAATAAGTCACATGAATTGAGTAATAGTGTGCAAATGAAAGGGCTCACTAGGCATCACAACCACTGCTGTTTATTTGTGGTGCAAGAAGGCTGTAGGTTTTATCACATAATTTCCAAGGTGTTTGCATAAACATGGGGGATTCCCATGACTCAGTAGTCCACTCATTGCAACCTTGCTTCATACATTGACAAGCTCAGAAAACTGGTGTATAGCAGGGTTCAGCCAAACCAAATTGATGGAGGAGATTTGGTGCTGGTAAATTGATATTGATGGTTTCAGCACCACAGAATGTACACAGGGAGCCGGTGTAAATTGGTGGAGCTGAAAGATAATTCTGCCACTATGGGAGAACTTCTGTAACATATTAAGAGTTTGGAGATCCATTGCAGGAAATTTTTCGGTATTAAATAGTAAAGTCAGAGTTATTAGAAGACAGCTATCAGATGCAGGAAAATGTTCTCAACCCTAGGTATAATGTACTTTATGCCATTATTGAGCATGGATAACATAAAATAATGCAAATTCACTAATGCATCACTCGTAGACTCGAATTTTTTTTCATAGATTTCAGCTTTTTTTTTTAAATTAAATCTACTTTTTTATTTAGATAGTACATAAGGATACAGAATGTAAGAACTGAGAAACTGACAAATAAAAACAATATAGAAATAGTTAATAAGAAACATCATACATTCAGTTGCTTCTGCTAAGGAAAAAATAAGTATTTGAGAAGGGCACAGGTGCAAAGTGACATACAGTTACATATAAGTAGTGGTGAAGAGTAAACCAAAAGAGGAAATTAAGGTCTATAGTAACAACATAGTTGTATTGCAAATATGAGGTGTGCATTGGGATGGGAGAAGGGTAAGGGTAGAAAAGAGTAAGGATGGAAAAAAGAAGGTGAAAGTGTGCAGCAGATAAGAGAGCATTTAACAAACACATATCATCCATTTGGTCAAGCACTAATGATGTGTCTGGTTCAGATTACTTAGACATTGGTCGCCAGTAGTGTTTGAAAACCTGGGAAGCCCAAAAAACAGCTCCAATTTAACCACTGAAGAGAGTATGATGTGCCTGTTTCAGCTTTTGACCCAGTTCACCAGCATCATGATAATGTTTTAAAGTGAGTTGTAAACATTTTTCATTCCGGGACAAAATCTCAAAAAAAAAACTCTACCTGATGAACTTGATGCTTTGACCATTGCTTAAACTATATGCTATTGGTAATCTGATTCTTATACTTTTGAAAATTCATCTTACGGTGACATGTTAATTGTGGATTGTTCTTATGTAATATTTATGAACAGGAATAATTTTCCAATTTAAATGCCTATCCAAATTTTACTTATATCATTACCATAGCTATGTATTCATATGTTCTTGTTTTATCATATTTTATTTATTATCCAAAATACAGAGCTATGCTAAGTAGTTCAGCGTCAACCAGCATTCTAACCCTATCATGTAACACTCAATACTAATGCATTAGTAATACCTGGAGGAGGAGGCAGATAAACAAGGAAAGGACAGGGAACTGAAATGAAACCCTAGTGCTTGAATATGTTTCAGGAAATAACCTCTAATCATATGGCAATTCTTATAACATTAACAGATACCCTTTCTAATTTACAATACTTGAGAAAAATTTTGAAAATATTTTACCCTTCTTAGACAGTAAATATCTATTCTCAAACTCTTTTTTCAACAGAATATGTAAAAACAAAGGTAACAAATTCCATTATTTTATGTTTTCGTATTCTTTTTGTTTTCCCTTTTTTTCTGTCTTTTGAGAAGATTATGATTGTTAAATCGCATTTGTGAATATTACTAGAGATAATAGTAACAAAAATTTGATGATTTCACTTTATGAAAGTATCCAGTGGCGGAACTACTGTAGTCGCAGGGGTCGCAGTTGCGACCGGGGTGTTTGCCAGCATTATGGTGCAGACCAACTCCTGGGGCTGCATTGAAGGGGTCCATTAGGTGGCCCATGCTCTTGGGGCCATTCGATGGCACTGCATTTCCTGGTGATGATGTCAGACCGCTGGAAGCAAGCCATCACTTCCTCCCAGCTAACAGAGCCACACAGGAGGAGAGTGCTAAGGAAGAAGAGGAGGGAGTCAGAGTGGGAGCTCTGACTCCCATCAGCTGGAGGCAGCCACTAGATTCCAGGGAAGTCACCCTCCTGCACCTAAAGGTAGGAAACAGGAGAGTGACTAAAATTTTCAACAGATTGTGTGTGTGTGTGTGTGTGTGTGTGTATGTCTGTATCTGTATATCTATGTGTCTGTATGTGTGTGTGTTTGGGTGTTTGTGTGTGTGACAAAACACAGTCACTGAGTGCCATATCCCCATGTGCCCGCTGTCTATTTCTATGGGGGGAGATATGTGATGGATGGCCTGATTTGTTTGGCCCGGGCCACAAGCATGCGGTGCCATTTTTGGGACTGTTTTACATGTGCCTGTATATGCAGTTGTGTGTCAACAAAGGAGGGGAGGGGGCAGCAGCTCTGTACAATATAGTTAAGTGAAATGTATTTCTTGTCTGTGCCTCTCCCCCCCCCCACTCACCCTTCCTTTTCGTTTCACAGCAGGGCGTTGCCACAGGGACACTGCCAGCCCAGTTTTAACTGGCTGCTTTGTCCCTCTTCCATCCCCCATCAGCTTCTTGGGTTTGAAATCCCTGTTGTTTTGTGTTGGAGACCCCATGTAGGGGTCTGTGCATATAAAACCATGTTTGAAAAAAAAAAAACCAGATCTGTACCTCCAGAGCTGTGTGTCGTCCAGTTACTGGAGGAAATGGGTCTCTTTATATTCTTAGTGGTTCCTGAATGGCTGAAGGAAGGAATTAGTGGAGGTAACCGGTCGGGCTACCTGTGGTCCACAACAACTGGTGGCAAGCGGTGGGATGGTACTTCCCAGGTGAACGGAACCAATGATTTGTTAATGGAACAAGCATGGCACCCAGCTACAGTGAGGATGCCTTTGACAAAGAGATGGCCCATTACTTGGCATACTATAGAGAAAAACCCTCAGCAGAAGGCGCAAGTCTATGTCCTGTCTCAGAGAAATTGGGAAAACCCCACTGAGAAATACGGAGAGCACATGAAGAAAATAGTGGCGGAGTACCTGCAGTGCACCGCAGAACTGGCAAGCGAGAGGGCATGGTGGGGGATACCCACACTCTAGCAGCAGGTTCCAGAGACTGGAGACTTGATAGACTTCACACAGGAGTTCTAGGGAGAGAAGTGTCCCGTCTTTCCTCCCCAGCGGCAGTGTGAGGTGCAGGGAGCAGAGACAACCAGTATCGTTCCCCAGCGGCAGCGTAAGGTTCAGGGAATGCAGACAACCGGTCTCATTTTCCAGTGGCAGTGTGAGGTCTAGGGTACCGAGACAACCGGTCTCATTCCCCAGCGGCAGTGTGAGGTCAAGGAAATGGGGACAACCGCACTTGTTTCCCAGTGGCAGTGCGAGGTGCAGGGAATGGAGACAACCGGTCTCGTTCCCCAGCGGCAGTATGAGATGGTCGGTCTCTCCCCCCAGCAGTGGAGTAAGATCCAGGGGGCGATAGCTGGTTCTCCTTCTCAGAAGCCAGCCAAAAAGCAGGAAGCGGAGCCGCGATGGACACCCCAAATTACACCAATCACCCTCAGCCAACCGGGAAAATGGCAGGAACACAGGTGATGGAATGGCTGGAGGCACACTTGTTTGGGTGGAGGTTTTTGTGGGCTCAGAGGCCCCTGTGTATCGGAGCCTGGGCGGGATGGCCTCCAGGGCTAAAGACACTTTATGTCAAAGTCACCCTGTACCTAGGAGGGTGCAGGGTGAAAAGATGGCCAGACCCCAGGATTGTAAGGGCTGGCTGAGGACAGTTGCTGTTGCGGGCATGGCACTCACAGGCTGTGTCCACTTCAAAGAGAAGCAAGCTGATCTGTGTGGATCATGCTGCAGCTGTCGGAGGTGGACAAGGGGGAGATAGTTAAGTAAAATGTATTGCTTGTCTGTGCCTCTCCCCCTCCCCCTTCCTTTTCATTTCACAGCAGGGCGTCACCACAGGGACACTGCCAGCCCAGTTATAACTGGCTGCTTTGTCCCTCTTCCATCCCCCATCAGCTTCTTGGGACTGAAACTCCTGTTGATCTCAGTCAGTGTTGTACCTCCAGAGGTGTGTGGTGTCCAGTTACAGGGGGGTGGGGAGAGGTGGGGATTGATCTCTTTATATTCTAAGTGTTGCCTGAATGGCTGAAGGAAGGAATTAGCGGAGGTAACGAGTCGGATTATCCGTGGTCCGCTACAGTGTGTGTGTGAATGCCTGTATCTGTGTGTGTGTGTCTGTATGTGTATTTCTTTGTCTGCATGTGTATCTCTTTGTCTGCATGCGTGTCCGTATGTGTATCTGCATGTGTGTCAGTGTATGCCCCTATGTATCTGTATGTGTGTCACAGTTTATATCTGTATGCTTATTATTCTATGACAAATCTGAATGTTTGTCATTAAGTGAGTCTGTGTATCTGCATGTGTGTCTATATGTGTATCTGTCTGTATGTGTGTCTGTGTGTTCTGTGTCTGTATGTGTATCTCTTTGTCTGCATATGTGTCTGTATGTGTATCTGTGTCTGCATGTGTGCCTTCATGTGTCAGTGTGTGCCCCTATGTATCAGTATGTGTGTCATTCTGTTTATGTGTGTCTGCATGTGTCTATATGTGTATCTGTCTGTATGTATGTCTGTTAGTGATGTCCCGAACGGTTCGTCGAACGGTTCGTCGAACGGTTCGCCGAACGGTTCGCCACGGATGGCGAACATATGCGCTGTTCGGTATGCCCCCTATGTCATCATTAAGTAAACTTTGACCCTGTACCTCATAGTCAGCAGACACATTCCAGCCAATCAGCAGCAGACCCTCCCTCCCAGACCCTCCTATCTCCTGGACAGCATCCATTTTACATTCATTGTGAAGCTGCATTCTTAGTGAGCTGTCCAGGAGGTGGGAGGGTCTGGGAGGGAGGGTCTGCTGCTGATTGGCTGGAATGTGTCTGCTGACTGTGAGGTACAGGGTCAAAGTTTACTCAATGATGACATAGTGGGCATACCGAACAGCGCATATGTTCGCCATCCGTGGCGAACCGTTCGGCGAACCGTTCGGGACATCACTAGTGTCTGTGTATCTACATGTGTGTCAGTGTGTGTCTGTGTGTCAGTGTTTGCATCTGTAGAAGTGTCATTCTGTGTATCTGAATGTGTGTCATTCTGTGTGTGTGTATTAGCATGTGTGTCCATGTATGTATCTGTATGTGTTATATTATACAAATGGAGGGGTGTGGGGGAGGGAAGATGTATGGGGGGCCCAAGGGCAATTTTCACACCCAGCCCTATGGTTTCTAGTTACGCCTCTGAATGTATAGCAATTACTGGTTTACATGATCTATTTTTCTATAAATAATGAAAATCACAATATATATATATATATATATATATATATATACACAAAACCAAGAGGGCTGCACTCACCTAAACATGCATACATTATAGGGTGCTGCTGGGGCCAAAAAACATACAAAATACAGAATCCAGCGCACTCGCTTATTCACTAAATAATGCTTTCAAAATTTTAGAGATTGTAATAGTTTTATTTAAAAACACCTCACCTAGGCAAAAAATAATGGGGGTTTAGTTACATTATATGATCATATATTGCATAAGCCTGCCACAACGTCAATGTACCCCATTCTTGGCAGGTCCTACTCTAGCAGCCTAATGCTTGCCCTTATGAGATTGATCCACTTACTTGGGAAATACTTCCTTACTGGGACTCTCTGCAAGTCAAGGCTAAATAGGATCCTGGAATGAGGCACCTGTGACAGGGAGGGGTGCAAAACCAAGGAGCTGGCCTAGACTCCCAAATATACAAACAAAACCAAGAGGGCTGCACTCACCTAAACATGCATACATTATAGGGTGCTGCTGGGGCCAAAAAACATACAAAATACAGAATCCAGCGCACTCGCTTATTCACTAAATAATGCTTGGCAGGTCTTGGTTTTGTTTGTATATTTGGGAGTCTAGGCCAGCTCCTTGGTTTTGCACCCCTCCCTGTCACAGGTGCCTCATTCCAGGATCCTATTTAGCCTTGACTTGCAGAGAGTCCCAGTAAGGAAGTATTTCCCAAGTAAGTGGATCAATCTCATAAGGGCAAGCATTAGGCTGCTAGAGTAGGACCTGCCAAGAATGGGGTACATTGACGTTGTGGCAGGCTTATGCAATATATGATCATATAATGTAACTAAACCCCCATTATTTTTTGCCTAGGTGAGGTGTTTTTAAATAAAACTATTACAATCTCTAAAATTTTGAAAGCATTATTTAGTGAATAAGCGAGTGCGCTGGATTCTGTATTTTGTATATATATATATTTCCTTTTTTTTCAAGTAAAAGAAAATGTATTCACCTTCAGTAGTGCTATTGTGCCCACACTAAATAATATTACATATATTAAAAACCAAAGGAAAAAAAAGGGATGTGGAAATAGTGCAGGTAACTTTTTTCCTTTGTTTTTTACTATATGTATTTGGGCTGGTGTGTACTATGGTCGTTTCTGCCGCCCAGGAGTAATGGGAGTTTGAGCGCAGGACTTGCTTCCTTGTATATGTATGTATATATATATATATATATATATATATATATATATATATATATAATCTATCACACTTTTTATACAGAAGATTCTCAATGAAAACCCCCTCATTAGATCTTTGAGTAACTATTCCTGGCAACAGCAATGTCAAGGAAATGTATACACAGCAAGATGCATCAACAATGTTGTTTGTTCTACAAGTGGATTTATTTTGTTATTTCCTCAAAGGTATTGCATATCCATGTATTGACCCGTTTTTCTTTCAGTACTGATGACGTTTGCTTCAAATTATTATTGTTATTCCTAGGTGTACCAATCTGTACATATCAAACATATTTTTCACATCCAATGCAGCTTCAAAAAATACAAGAAGATAAACTTGACCACAATGTCCCTTGAGATATTACAGTATATAAATAAAACAGAAATAAAGGCAAATCTAAAATAAATGCATAAACAAGTACTAGATACTTTTGCAAATGTGAACTGAAAAAATCTACTTGAAATCAAAACCACATGGTGTCTGGGCTTTAAAAGGGATTAAATTGTTATGTTTAGACAGGGCTATGATAGAATAATGCATAACACAGGGATATCATAAATATTACTCATTTTAGTATACATAATTAAAAAAAAATAAACATACCTGTAGATTAAATCTCCCAACATGGTGATTACAATCCACTCAGGTCAATATCTACCATCCTGCGTGGTTCATCACTATATACTGATTTCTTCAGTTACATTTTTGCATGTATTATCACATGTAAAAATCCAAAATTAAATAGATGTAAAATACTGATCAGAAAAAAAAAACTATTATATGAAAAGTAGGTTATTGTATTATTTAATTAATAATGTTCTCAATAGTGAATGCTGTTTTACACTTTTATTATTACAAAATAAATAAACTAACATTTTACTTTCCTAGGTGATCAAATGGCTATCTCCATTTTATTTAGAGGAATTCTAATTATTTCTGAGTAACATTAAATATGTTAATTGTATAAAGCTAATTAAGTGCGTCAAATTTTAGACTATAGGCAAAGAGTGCATGTTTAAATTTGTCATGCTAAAAGAATAATCAAAACAACAAAACTGAAACATTTCAAGTGATTTACAGTATAACTTACAGTGTTGCCCTTGAAAACTATTTGAAGTTAAAATGTTAGCATTGCAACCATTTATATTTTTGTGGTTTTTCTGAATCCTTCTCTCTTTAGCATTAAGACAGATGTGGAAAAAAAAGCAGATTTTCAGTTTCTCAGATCTTCACCCTGGGGGAATTTCACTTTATTGTTTCTGAACAGTAATGACTACATTTCTCTTTTTAACTCAGATTCAAAAAGCTTCTATAGGGTTTCATAAGCTTTTCATGTTCTCTAAAGCATTTAACAGGGCAAAAATCTATATCTTATCTACACCCTCGCTCAGCATGATGGGAAAGAAGGAAATTGCAAGAATAATCAACACTGGTCAAGAAGCTATGGGTGAAGCTTGATCCATAATTTAACAATGCATACACATTGAAGAACAAAGAAAAGATAGTTATTCCAGTCCTGTGATGTTGTTTTTGAAAGTTCATCTGTATTTGAAAGCTTGAAGCAATGTGTCCTAGCTTTAATAGTACATTTTTAAAATTATACATCAAATCTCAAATTTAACTCGCAGACTAGCATGGTATCTTTTATTTTCTTCAGTTACAGCTGCAATTACAAAACATTTCCACATCATGAATTATAACATAAACAGCTACCATGTATAATCATAACTAGCTGAAAATATCTGCATCTTTTAAAAAAAAAATATATATATATATTTTTATACAAAGGTTTTAAATGGCAAAATGATTTAACGATTCTAAATAATAATATATGCTATACTATCCATACTTTTATGTCTGAACTTACCATCTAATAGAGGTATTTAAATTTTCTATCACTAAAACAAGATCAGCAGCAGTTCAGGTAGCATTTAAAAAATACTAAATGGGCTAACTCAGTAACTGTTGAAATTTAGTAGATAATGGTTATTTTAACAGCAGCCTGTAGAAGCCAAGGCAAGGCACACATATAAAGATGTGAAGGGCAGAATGGATGCAGATAGAGATAATTAAGGAATGATAACTCCACATTACATCTCCCTTCCAGCACCTTAGAGACTCAGGAGCACACAGTAAATCCTTCAACACATATAGACCAGGAAATATGCACAAAAATATAAGTGGAGCTTTATACGTATACTTCACTCTGTTTAATTCTGCAGATTCTGCAAAAACAGACAAGGAACACAAATAGTGCTGACAGAACTTGTAAATAAGTGTGTAAATATTATGTATGATACACTCACATAGGTGGAGCCATAATGCTACCTGGCTCTGCTCTGAAGCACCTTTGGATCCTTAGTGAGATCCACCCCCTTCTTTAGTGCTGATTCTGGATACAAACTCCTTGGTATGGAAATTGGATAGGTCCACTCAGGTCTCCAAAAATAAAATTGATATTTATTCCAAATATAAAAGCAAATAAATAAAATAATGAATGAATAAATGTCCATGTGGATAGTCCAATAAACAAAAGGCATTTCGCCTGGTTCGGGCTTCCTTAGTTGATATATGTCTCCATATGTCCATAGCATCTTATATAAGCCCAGATTTTCCCTGTTTTTCCTGTGGAATGCAAGCATGTGTTCCAAGCGTCATGTCACGTGATCGTGCGTCTTTCATCATCATTATGCGTTTCATGCATCGCTTTACATTTAAGTGTAGAAATAATTTAGAAAGAGCACTTATAAAAGAGGTGATGACCAAATGGGAAATTGCGACTCTTAAAAAATAAGTAAATGAAAGAATAACACCTAGAGAGTTGAGATTCTCAAAGGATCCAACTTTTGACAGAAAGGATCCATTCTTTATGGAAAGATGGAATAAATTAATGGACTAATGAGCTATATAGTGTTCAAACAGGAGAAAAATTTGGTGCAAATTGGTGAGGATATAAAAAAATGGAAAGAAGGACTAAGTAATGCCACGAATCATGAATTTTCAATGAAATGATTACTGATATAAGAAAAATAATAGAAAAAGTTGAAAAGGAAATTATAGAAGTTAAGAAAAAGAAATACCTGAGGGCTACTCGGGATTATAAAACAGGTAATAAAAAATTATAATAAAAACCAAAGAAAACCAGTACCCTCTAGACATGGGAACCAAAAAGAAGGCTTTAAGATATACAGAACCAGATTTCTGGAAAGACGGACCAATTATCAATATGTAAATCCATATATAAAATCAACAAGAAGATTTATTCATAACGGAAATCCTTGAAAAGACTCAGGAGGAAGGAAGCAGACACCCAGGAAATACAATGATGCTGTCCAAAGTCACCAGAGACAAAGAAATAGGAA